GAAAGCACTCGGTCGGCGACTATTCGAGCCGCTCTGCGCTGGATGCGGTCAAGTGGAAGGAGCTGGTACTGGGGAGCTCCAGCCCAGAGATGGGAACAGTATTCCATGTGCGGCCGAACCTGCGCCTTGTAAAGTTGCAGGCGGTGTGCCGGCATGAAATACTGTCCCGCTCTGCTGAGCACGCCAAGCTTTTTAGAAGCCAATTTGGCCTTCTCTTCCAAGTGACCACGAAACTGCATGTCACTCGATATGTCGACACCGAGGATTCCGATACTGGCTGAGGTAACAAGGGGAGTGCCTTGAAACTGAGAAGATACGACAAAGGGGTTCTTTTTAGCGGTTAATGCGCAAACTTGTGTCTTCTGAGGGTTAAATTGGACTAGATGTAGTCGCCCCCAATCCGAGACTCTGTTTAGCAAAGACTCGACTTCAGACACAAGTTTGTCCCGGTACTCGGAGACGTTTTCCCGAGAAATATTGGCACGGCCGGTGTACAGAGCATCACCAGTGCTGTCATCTATATAGCAATGAATGTTACGGGTTTGCAACATATCACTGATATGCAGAAGAAACAGCGTTTGCGATAGCACGCAGCCTTGTGGAACACCAGCATTAATAGGCTTGTAATCCGAGCTTGCACCGTCTACAACGACCTTGATGCAATATCAACAAAACACTAAAACTAGTAAACTAAAACTTGGTACTTTGAAAAAAAAAAATCGTTTGGATTTTTTTACGTGCAAGTGTAATTCTAATAATTTCTGGAAAAAACAAGTCCAGGGCACTAAACAAAGGGTACTTTTTTCTGTCTGTCTGTGTATTAAAGACTTACGCAAAAACTACTGCACAGATTTCTATGAATTTTATGTGTAGGTAGTTAAAGACCCGCGGCTACTCATAGGCTACTTTTAACCGATTACGGAACTTCAAAAAAGGAGGATAATGTATTTTCCTTCATTTAGATGTTAATTTATATTTTATACGATTGATGTGTTTTATTAAAATAAATAAAATTATTATAAATAAAGCCCAAAATTAGTTTTAACCGATGTGTAATTAATTGAACTACGCTGAAAATCTACGATATTATTGTTGTATTCACTTTTTCAAAACATTGCCATCTAACGTAAAATACAAAAACTAATGACATTTTGCCTCCACTAACAGATTAAATAATATTACATTTATATAGTTATTTAATTAAATTCATTATTTATTTGAAAATTTTAATGTACATTTCTTAGTTTTTGTTATTTCATTTTAGAAGATATTAATAAATTTTACAGTAACAAATTACTTATGAAAAGATAATAGTGACATCTATTGAAAATCATAAATTTAAAGATGTTTCTAAGTTTAATTTATAGTCAGTAAAAGTTTTAGTAGTTATAAGTTTTTATCTATAAATAAACTTATAAAAATTGCAATTATTACAAAACTCTTATTATCCTTATAGTTTAAATAAAAAGATTTATTTAAACTATAAGGATTATATATGTATTGGTCATATCTTAGAATTTATAATATCATAAATTAGTCGATTATTGAAAGTGAAATGGCGGTATTTCATAAAATTTAACAGTGTTTGTTGACTATATGATGTTAAAGCTTAAGCAAGTCAATGAATAGAGATTGTTTGGCGATATTAACAACTAAACACGAGACTGCTATTTCTAGATGCTATTGTTGTCTTTCTTTGCATAAAACACAGTTGGCAGAGCAGAGTCTTCAGTTAAATATCTATAATGCATGTGTTTAGTTTAGTCTGCTCGAAGACGTGCAAATATTTATAAAAAAATTTATCTATAAGTGGAGCTAATAAATCACATAAAATTTTTGTATTCTAAATATTCTTTTAGGTTATAGACACAATTTTCAAATAACCATTTCGTTAATGTTTTTTGAAAGAGGCTCCTTATTTTTCTTTTAAATTTATAGGTAATGTGTTATATAATAATATGCTCATTATATATACACTTCTCTTATACATATCTTTATTACAGGGAGGTTGATATATTAGGTCTGCATATTTATTTATTAAACGCCTTGTTGTAGTATCTTAACGGGTTTTAAAATACTTACTTAGGGAATGATTTGACAAAAAGATAGGCTTCTCTGATATATAAACAAGGTAATGGAAGAATACTATATTTTTAAAGTAAGGTTTACAACTATCTAAATACTAAATGTACTTAAGGCTGTGTGGTGCTCTTTCTACCTCAACAGAGTTACCCCAAAGCAATATCCCATAAATAAGCACTGATGATACGTAGCCATGTGTCGCGGTGAGAGCAACCTCAATTGATATATTTTGCCTAACACTTTTTAAAGCAAAAGCAAAACGTTAAGGCTTTTTACAAACGATATCAATATGCTCCTTCCAGTTCAGATTTGTATCAATATTTACTCCTAAAAATTTATAGTTATATACTTCATAAATTTTGTTATTGTCGTATAGCATATTAAAGTGGTGTGTATGATCTAAATTGGATTTTGAATTTTTTATTTCTATGAAGGTCTTTAGATGAATATGTTATGTACCTATCGGCATAGCAATATTTCACCAAATTCTTTTTGTATCAAGTCCGATATAAGTACAATTGAAAATTAAATGCACTACGAGATTTTTATTTATAATTGATGGAATAGTTCGTGATATCGTTGATGCAATCTTTTTTACTTTTAATGAAATTTTTAAAACAGTTTTTCATATATTAAGATAGCTTTCATAATTTCAGACATAAGTATTTAAATTTTTATGACAGTCCCGGTTGCATAGCTCACACGAGTAAATTAACAGGCTCTTGTGAAGAAGTACTATAAATATCATAGTAAGCAAATTATAAAAAGGTTTTTTTTTGCTTGCTTGCAAAGCTTGTTTTTTCCAGTTTAACTATGTGTATTGAGTAGAACTGCATTGATAATGCCTGCATTGAATCTTGACAGTCATCTGTATACACGTAAATTTCATAGTTGGTACGTAAGCAACTCAAATTAGATCCGCACCGAATCCACTCATATTTTAACTACAATTTGAAGTTTCGATTTAGCACGTTCTCGGCGGTGAAGAAAACATCGCAGAAAATCTGCACATCTGAGATGTTAAAAAAATATTTCGGAAATCATTTGTAGGTATAGGTATGTGAAGTCAGTCATTCCGAGCTAGAGTCAACTTAATCAAATCCTTTTTCACCTAAAACTCGCTGTGGCCTGTGCCCAGTAGTGGGATGTATTTAGGCTGCTACTTTTTTACTTTTAATGGGGCTTTTCACTGCTGATCATAGGCTTCCCCCATTGCCTATATCAAATAGACCGGGTATTTGCAGTAGTATTCACGCTTGGCAAGCGGGTTGGCAACCGCAGCTCTTAATTACTTCGCGCTGCTATCGAGAAGATGCTACCCATCTCCTGTTTCAGTTTCCCTCTGTCGCCTCTTAACACACCCACGGGATGAAATGGGGTAGTGGTTTCTTTTTCGCCGCCTTCTACATGGCTAATATATTATTTCTACTCCCGTTCATCGATTGGATTTCCTCCACAAACTGCCATAAAGTTGGATATTTGCCATAGTTGCCACGCTTGGCATGCGAGTTGCCAACTGCAATTTTTATTATTATAAGCTATGATCAGGAAGACGCTGCTGCCGATCTTATGTAGATTTCTACTCCTGTTCATGAATTTAATTCTTCTCATACGTTCATCGTGAATAGAAATTTTAAAGTCTACTCGAACGTAAAAAATACTGGTATGTGGTGGTAATCAATATTCAATAGGACCAATATTAAACAAGATCATAAAATAAAACCTTATTTTATCAAAACTATATCAACTTTAATAATGAATATTATGTAAGTACTCGTAAATAACGCATTTCCGATTACAGGACAATTTTCCCTTCATAAAGACACATCGGAAGACGTGCCCGATATAAAGAAAGGTGTTGCTTGACGTACCTATGATATTTATGCGATTCTGATAAACTAACTTATGTTACTGTAGCTTATAATATTGTCAATATGGACAGAGATATCGACGTGCCTCTACAAGTGATCCAGTTTTGATAATTTTAGTACGAAACAGTATTATAGATATTTTTAAATTCAAGCCCACGCGTGCGAAGCCGCGGGTAAAAAGCTAGTTTGTTAATAAAATGATTTTAGTTTTATAAGTTTAATTGCTATTAAAAATTTAAAGCCGCTTTCCTTTTTTTTATTCATTGATATATAAAGGACAAATGTACCACACAGCCTATATCAGTTTTATACTTTGTGTAATCGATTTATTTTGGCATACATTATTATTTTTTCCCTGTAGGTGACACTACTTGTTAAAATAATAGAGCGCTAAATTTAAAATAGGTAAATAATATAATATATTTTAAAAGTTAGGAATATAGTTTACTTTTTTCATCAAAATCAAATGAAACGCTCATGAGACGTGCACTTTTGGATTTCCAAACTATTTTTTTAACTTTATGCTTATGAATGTATTTAAAAAAACGTACAATTTTCAATTTTAATGTATTTTAAAAAATTGTACGCCGTCACAGTTTGACATTTCGGTTTCATAAAAAATTTATTTCACTAGTTCATAACTTTATCTGGTGCTTATTTTACTTCCGGTTATCTATTAAAGATTTTGAAGCTTATTCCCCTCTGAATCTGCTTATTTACGCTGGTATTCTCTGAGAGCGTGGTCCTTCTCCGGTCGAGCCGACTCATTCATGCTACAACAGTAATAGAGCTGCAACCAGGCTCTACCACAAACACCACCTTTAATACAACCCAAACGTATACAGTCATATATGTATATCTTTTTGCGTTACGTAGTAATTTGGACCACGTATGAACTTTTAATACTACCCAAACATATACAGTCCTTTATGTCTTCCCGCGTGGCATTGTATAACTCATATACAATTCGAGACCGTTATTAATTACTAAATTGTACGCAAACAAAGCTACAGGCGTCATTCAGATAACTGAAATAAACGAATTTACCTTTGAAAAGTTCTTCGCCTTCGAATTTAGGACGCACTGGTTTGCTGTATTGTCCACTGGCGACTATGACAAAGTCGCACGCGTCTGTGTAGCTGTTTCGGTCTTCGGTATTGGTGTACGTCACATTCCAATGATCATCAGCCCATTTCACACGTGTTACCAAACTGCGGAACTGAAATAAAAATAAAGTGTTGTTAAAATAAATTCTTACCTACTTACTTACTTATCTTCACGCACAATCCCTAACGGGGTAGCCAGACAGAACAGATCGCCAAGTGTCACGATCTTTACATACCTCTTTCGCTCAAATTAAATTCGAGTTCTTCATTGCGTAATTGCTGCTTAAACGTCTTTCCTATTAGAGGTTTTACGTTTTTTAACGTATTTGATAAACGTTACCCTCTATATTTATAACCGACTTCAAAAAGGAGGAAGTATTCAATTCGACTGTATTTTTTTAATGTGTGTTAATTATTTGAAAGCTGGTGTTTCTCGTGTGGTTTGATCAAGATCAGAACAGTACTTTTTGAGTTAACTTAATAATACGTATTTAATTGTCTTCGAATACATTGATGTTTTACAAAATTTTTAATTTTACCACTTGTGTATATTATAATGCAATTTTGTAAACATAGTTACAAATGGAAAAATATCCGCATTCGGATTATTATTTGTAGGCCATACAAATCGTTCAGCCGTAGGGGATTTGCATATAACATAAAAATTATAATAACATTAATTATGTATGTTACATCTGGTTTGACATAATCAGGATAAAAATAATAAACTATAAGATTAAAAAGTTAGTTTCTGACCCAATTAAAAAACCGATACATGTGGCTCGGTTTTATACTCTTGTGCTTGTTCTTGTTCCGATATTTCAAAAACTGTTTTAAAATTCAATTAGGTATATAGAAGTGTATAATATGTTATTAATGATTTTAGCTAATATGATAACCGACTGTGATACATAATCAAGGCTGGTAACTGCTACTGTAATTAAGTTTATGGTTTTGTACATTATTGTTTAATTAATGTAGGTAAGTATGTTTACACCTATGTTTTTGTTATATTTCTCAATTTACTAAAATAGATAAATTCGTGAATGATGGTACAGAGAGCAAGAGAGATGAGGTTTAAAATTAAGCGGCATCTTCTCATTCTGTACATAAATCTTAGATCTAAAAGGAGAGGTCCCGCCTTGTGGGTTACTGGTTTACATAAGTTTGCTTAAAGAGATTCACTAGTGTGGTATATGCCAAAAGCTCTAAGGTGCACAACTCGGATATAAGTGACAATTTTTCTTAAAAGTTCTGTATTGTAAAGATTATCACTTCGAAATCTATTGCAATTTGTCAACCATGCGATGTTCATTTCGTTAAATTAAAAAAAAATTGTTCATATTTGTTTACACAAAAACACTAAATCTCATCTCATGAAGATGTCACACGAATTTATTAATTGATACACAATCAACTATCGGCACTATAGTTTTTATAAAATGAATACGCTTGATTTGCATCAAAGTCATTAGGATATAATTTCGTGTCATAACTGGCATAAGAGGTAGCTACCCGATATATTACTTTCCTCTATAGAGGCAATCATGGGAAATGTCGGAAAAGTCTCATGGCTTTAAATAGATGTATTATTAATCAACAATCCACCAGAACCACAAAAACTACTATTTCTTAAAATCACTCTAAATTGATTAGTTTACTGATGATAAAATATAAGTTTTTTGGCTATCGACATGACATGGCCAAGTTACATAAAAATAAAAATTTAGGCTAACTTACATAAAATGTTTTGCGTTATATTACATTGCATTAATATATCTGGGAAATATTAATCTATATCAGAATAAATGTGACGAAAAAATTATGTTTGTAATAAGAATACCGACAGATTTCATTTATGAATTTTAAAGTTAAAGTTTCAGTACGTTAATACGTTTAGGCACAGGCCTCCTCTCTTTACTAATATGGTTTTAGGGCAGATAAATATCCGCCACACTGGCCCAACGCGTGTTAGCGAACATCACATGTCTTCGAAATTAATATATTATGAATTTATAGCTTTATAACCATTCTGTTTGTACAAACGTAATACCCAGACGTGCAACTTTATTATTGACACATTTATTATTGGTAAAGGTAAATTAAGTAATTTTATAAACTATTCATACAGTACATATATATAAACTATAACACGAAGAATTCACCATACCCCTCGTTGGTGCCATAAGTGGCAGCTATAGGCGGCTATAGGCGGAAACGTTAAAAGAATCTCATGGCTTTCGAACATTATAAGCATTTCATTTAGACATGTCGTAATCTCCCGACCGCTGCCCAGTCGAGTTGAAGCCTTCTTGAATTGACTTCTTGTTCGAAGTTGGAATTACGTATTCGGAAAATTTGTACCACGTAAAACATACTCGTCGACAACTTGGCATGGGTGTGAAATAAACGTTACACATGACCTTTGTTTCGTCTATGTTCATTTTGAGTCCTATTCGTTGGGAGACGCATTTTGTACGTGGTAGAGCAACGCTGCAGCCGTATTATGGTTGTAGCACAAATGGGTTGGCTCGACCGGGGAAGAAGGACAACGTTTTCACAGAATACCAGCTTAATACTGCTGTGTTTTGTATGGTGAGTGTAGAAATCCGGAGACCATTTTTTACTGGAAACGAGGCATTCCATTTTAGTCCTTAGGGGTGACAACGCATCTGCGTGTGTGTGTGTCATCATTTAAAAAAAAATAATAAAATAAGCGAGAAGACTTGACAAGTTTACAAGCATTTGTCTTTACTATTTATATTACTGAAATTACATAAACTTTTACGAGTTCGAAACTCAATAGCAATTGTTCTAGTAAATACAATCTCAGTGCTGGTGACGTCTCTAGCCCCGTAATGAACTATAATGTGAACGTGAAAAAAAGTCCTTTCGGAACTTGTCTCGCCGCCGACGAGGAAGCGATTAGCTATCGACTAAGAAAATTCTCGCTCAAGAAATGAACAACAGATAAAAAATATAATTTATTGGATATAATCACTAAGTATGTAATAGGTATTAATATGACGTAATGAAAATATCCCCGGAGAAAAATCGCCGCAGTTCTTTACTGATCTTCAGAACTAACGACAATGCATCCGAATTTTTATTCCTAATCTAGAATAGGTATATGTAGGAGTGTCTATGGGCCATAATTACCACTTACTAGCATGTGGATTTTGTATACGTATGTTACAGTTGTATAAAAATATTATCATTTTATTTAAAGAGTATTAACTACCACTTACTTGAATATATTTCATGAGGTCAAAATATTTGACGAAGTTCTTGAGATAGTTATAGAAGCAATCTCCCGACGGATAAGACGGAGTATCATCCGGAAACTTGAAGCCAGCATACTCCATGGTCTGACGTGGTGTGTTCGTTCTTAAAGTAATTTAAAACCGGTCATAATTAATATAAATGGGCACAATGCTTATATTTAATTTATAAAAAAATATTTTGAAAAATCAATAAAAGGTACAAAAATAGGAGCATGTTTTAAACTCGAAACATTACGTTGCAGTGTGCAACAGTAAATATAAATAAAGTTTCTAAAATCAAAATATAACTATTATAAGAGATATAATATTATTAAGTGCTTTTTCACATGCTTCAAAAATAAATTTTATTATTTTAAGTGTTTGCTTAAATTGCTCGAAACGTTTTAAAATAATGGATTGTGCAATTAATAGACCATGTATTTTTTTTATTAAATAAACACACACACCACACACACACACACACACACACACACACACACACACACACACACACACACACACACACGCACGCACGCACGCACGTACGCACACACACACACACACACACAATAACAGACTTAGGCAAATAAATGCTCATAGATGATGTAACATTAGCGCTAAGTTCAGCGACTTTATCATATAACTTTCTCTTATTAATTATAACGAGCAAGACTACATAACTCTACATAGATTTTGTACATAACATTGAGCTTAAACATAATATTGTCATTTTAAAAGCTTTTATCTAACATACATCACTTGTATGTATGTCCCGGAATTTTGCAATCAATATTTCACTAACTTCCACTAAGGCTATCGGGCTAAAATTTGGCACACCCGTTTTGTTTTTGAGATAATGCACGATTACTTAAATGCCGCCATTTTTAATCCAATATGGCGTACGTAACAAAATAGCGATTTATCATTTCCACAGCAACCCCTATAATATGGGTATCAAATAGAAGAACTTGATGAGCGAAACATAACAAGTAAAGTGACGTTGTTCTAAATCCTATACGGCGGACTTCACAAAATGGCAATTTCTGATTTCCATAGTAAACTATGATATGGGTATAAAATAAAAGGGAGTGATGAGCGAAACACTATAAGAAAAGTGACGCCATTCTAAATCCAATATTGCGGACGTCTCAATATGGTGACTTATAATTTCCATAGTAACCTCTATGGGCTTGGTGAGGAAAACACATTAGTAAAGGGACGTCATTCTAAATTCAATATGGCGGACGTCTAATATTTCAATGCAATATTATTATGATTTTAAAGTATATTTGATGATGGAGCTGGTATGTTGCCATGGCTAAAAAAAGGTGGAAAAGAAAATGGCCGCCATTCCAATTTTAAAGAGTTATTCTCGGTAAAGGTTAGGTATAGTTTGGTGATGCTTGAACAAATGTTGTAGGGAACAACAAGGGTCAACTGCTGGCAAAAATTCACGATGGCGGATTTAAGTTAGCGATTAAAAACTAAGTTGCTCCATTCCGCATGCAATTTTGTTATGCTAGGGTTTTTGGAGTCCCCGATTACAATTATGGGGTGAAATTGTTCAGATTAAATTTTGCAACGGAATTTTAAAGGAACACCTAGGTAAGTGACGTCATTTTAAATACAAGATGGCGGACTAGATGGTGCACTATGTTTTTTATTCACCCCCATGATATGGATATCAACTGATCAGTTGATCGATTCAAATGATAGCAAGATGAATCTTTAATTCGCTGAAAAGAATACGAATAGAATGACGTCCACGTTCAGCTCTTCGAGGAGATGGTGTACTACCGCCCGGCTAAATACTAATACTAAGCGGGTTCATGTATTAACTAATAACGACGTACACCCTGGGCAAATTTTAGCGGCAGAGTAGTAAGTCAAAATGGCGGAAAACAAGTTTTTTTTTTACAGGATAAGGGTGACAAACAAGCACACAGTCCACCTGATGGTAAGTGGATGCTGTAGCCCATAGACACCTATATTTAACCTCGATTAAGAATCAAAATGCAGATGCGTTGTCACCCTTGATGACTAAGATGGAGGAATGCCTCGATTCCAGTAATATGGGTCTCCGGTTCTCTACACTCACCATATGAAACACAGCAGCATTAAACTGCTTTTTTACGCTGGTATTCTGTGAGAGCGTGGTCCTTCCCCAGTCGAGCCGACCCCTTCATGCTACAACCATAATATAGCTGCAGCGTGGCTCTACCGTGTGCCGTCAATGCCCGCCATATCTTTTAAAGACTTATAACTCGACAAAGGTTAGGAATAGTTTGGTGGTGCTCGAACAAATGTTGTAAGGACCAATAAAGGTTAACTTCTCGCGATAAAAAAATTAAAGATGGTGGACCTAAGATGGCGATCAAAAACCAACAAGGACGCATTATATAAAATGAAGAAACTTAGAAACATGTCCAGCGATAATTAAAAAAAATATTTATTAAAACAACAACTCTCCGTAAAATGTTTTAAAGATGTATCTCTTTGCTTTTATTTATAATTAAGTGTATTGGAACCGGTAGCCGAATGAAAAAAAAATATTTTACTATGCATCCGACAAAAGTATTTTTTATTTGGGCACTGTGGTAAAAATATTATAATTGATTGTAATATTTAATGTTTATATTATTATAATTATATAATTGGTAATTACTCTTATCTCTTACATAAATAAAAAATAATAAGATTTAATTCAATAAATTGTAGGCCACAAATAAATGCGTGCGGCAGCAGAGCGGTACAGTATTATATGCCGGCGCACCGCTTGCAACTTTATAAGGCGCAAGTTCGGCCTAATATGGAATACTGTTCCCATCTCTGGGTCGGGGTACCAGAGTACCAGCTCCTTCCGCTTGGTCAAGTACGGTCGCATCCAGCGCAGAGCGGTTCGAATCGTCGACGACAGAGTTCTTTCTGATCAGCTCGATTCACTTGCGCTGCGAAGGAATCCCTTTGCATTTTCAATCGCATCTACCACGGGGTGTGTTCTGAGGAATTATTCAGATTAATTCCAGCCGTCAAATTTCACGAAAGCACATCGCGTCAAAACTCACGATATCATCCACAATCTGGATGCTTGGCGGTCCACCACTGTGCGTTTTACTATGAGCTTTCTTCCTCGTACAACTTTTTGTGGAATCGTTTACCACCGGTGATTTTTCCGAACCGATACGACCAAGGGTCCTTCAATAAAAGAGCTTAGTTCTTTCTTAAAGGCCGGTAACGCACTTGCAATTCCCCTGGTGTTGCAGCTCATTTTTTCCATCTACTATAAAAATCTTCGTCTTAACTTCACTGCATCATATTTATTTTAAACTTATGGTCCACTTATTATAATAAAATATTAGTAAGAACTAACTCATCAGTTAGCATACCTATTATATCCCACTCGATATTAAAATCAGAACTCGATAGTGTGCACGTAACGAATATTTACAGTATTATATTACCTTGATATGGAAACTGTAATGATAAATTATACTCCTAAATTATTATGTCATTTGGTAAATAATCCCAGACTATAAGACGGACGGTCAAAACGAAATTTTTGGGATAAATAACGGTTTATGCACAATGCAATTTTAAAAGAACAAAAAATAAATGCAATCATAAGTCTTATGTCTCCAGATGAAATTGTTTCCACTATGTCTACGCGATCAAAATAAATAAAACATTGAATCTCTTGCAGTGGCGTAGCTTGCCTTAGACGGGCCCTGTATCAAGATTTGTTGGGGGGCCCAAATGAAGGGCCCAAAACCGGTCGCATGAATTAAAATAATTATATATCGATTATAAGTTAATAATTAATATTAATACTACTTAGTAACTAAGCTAGGCAACAATTCAAATCGAATATACACTTTTCTTGTCTTGTTCGGCGAAATTTATAGCTTGGGGAAATTTTTTTCGTATTTTATATACACATTTTTTTTTCAAAGTTTTATTACATTTAATTATGACATATATATGTGCCATTTTGTTCGATAACTTGTGGCCATCTTGTAGGTAGATGACATAATCCCATTGCTGTAGAAATTTAGGGATTTTTGATCAAAAAATGCGACAAGTCGTTTTGACAGTCCTGAAATTAAGAAATTAAGTTAACACTACCCAAAGAATTCTGAAAAGACCGAAACAGGTGAAAATCTGAGGGTGCAAGGTCAGGACTGTATGGTGGATACATTAACAATCCCCAACCAAGATCCCTCAAGCTTTGCTGAGTGGCTAAAGATCTGTGTGACCTGGCGTTGTCATGACGAAAGACCACTCCTTTTCTGTTGGTCAATCCCAGCCGTTTTTCTCAATTTCTTGCTTGAGTCTTACTAGTTGTTCGCAGTAGAGATCCGAATCGATGTTTTTGCCAAGATGTAACAATGCTCTTCTAATCCCACCATACACACATCATCATGTGTTAATCCAGGCTCGCTACAGTCTGTAAACTTGACTATCCTTTGACCAAGATTTTTTTCGCACAATCTTGTTGTAGGTCATCCACTCCCATCATCAGTGATTAATCTTTGCAAAAATGTTTCAGTTTATTACGTTTCAATAGAGAATCGCAAATGAGTGCACGATACCTTAGGTTCCTTTCAGTGACCTCGTGTAGTACCTAAATATCTATATCTATCTGATGTATTTGAAGCAGTTTTAATACTTCGTACATTACTTAGGTCTCAGAGGCTCTGAAATCTTTGTTTAGCTTGAGACAATAATATGTCTAAACAGCAGTAGTACCAGTGTCTTTGAAGTACGATTCCGGGTATGAAATTCTCTCACCTTCTGATATTCTTCATAAAAAAACACTTTTTTTTCGTTATCTTCTTTCTTTTATTTTTGAAAGCAATTTTACACCCCGCTCTTTTGCTAATCTCTGGACTCGCTCAGCAAACCATGGAATGAATTTTGATTTCTTATTTCGCTCAGTGTATGCAAAAGATTACTTAGTAAAATGCTTTCTGTAAGTCATTATTTTCATGGTGTAGAGCTTTAGAAACAGGATTTCAAATGGTGAATAAAAAAGGCGACAAGCACTATAAAATTTTAGGCTCTTTAAAATGGTAACTATATTGTCCATTCGTCACGTTCGCCTTAATGGAAATTAAATTTATTTGG